AGGCCTGGGGGAATTTCAACGGGATTGGAATCTGCCATCTACATGGAAGGACTACTTGTTTTTCTGTGTCTTTCTTGGTTAACCAAATAAGAAGTTTTGGGTATCTAGCCTAGTGAAACATGTGTATTGCTTTTGTGAAAATTCGCTGCATTAATATAAATATTCTGGAGCTCGTGTCTTGCTTTGCCTCTCCGTCAATGTCGTCCTATATAAAAGCATCAAAACCTTCCTCGAACTATGCAGAAGAATAACATATTTCTTACATCCTTTCCAAATACCAGGCGATGCCATGTGTTCTAAGGCTTAAGAGCCGAAAGCCGACGGAGGGTTTTTTTTGCAAAAGCGTGGTTCGGCCGTTCTTTCTGCAAACGTGTGGCTCGCTTCTTTTTGGCTTGGAATGTTCGTAAATGTTTTCAATTACCGCCCAGCTGGTTTTGGAATGTCTTACTTACAACATCTTACAGCATTTGCTGGTCTTGGCACATTTCAACCGCTGTAAATTAGAGCGCCTGCTGGTCTTGGAACGTTTCAAGCCCTGCAAAGTACAGCGTTTGCTGGTTTGCTGGTCTCGGATCGTCCCACCTGCTGTAACTTGCAGCATTTGCTGGTCTCCTTCAAATGCTGTGAATTTTGTTGGTCTTGCAACGCTTCAATTGTGGATCGCTACAAAATGCAACAAACTAGTACATCTGGTGGTCCTGGCAAGCTGTAAATCACGGCGTTTGCTGGTCTTGCAACGGTCCACAACTACGACAAGTTCCTTGGGAAAAGAGTGGGCGTTTGGAATTGGGGGGACGGATAAGGCTTAGGTGCGAAGTTGGTGTTTCCAATTTATTTGCTGGTCAATGGAGAAGCATGGAAATCAAAATGAACCAAGATACCTTTAAGGACCATAGGAGCGATCATGAGGATCGGTTCCTCCATAACATTAAGAACCAGGACTAGGATATAATGGGGATAGCACGTTGTAAGCCCACTTGTTACATCATTCAAAAAGTTCGTGGCAACTTTTGCCGCTACTTACAAATTGCAACCAACCCTAAACCCTTGGCCTTAAACTCTGTGATTGTTCTTCTTTGCTGTTGTTACCATAGCTGCGAAGCCTATATTACGGTGTTTCTTGTGCTGCTATTGTTATTCTGCTGTTCTCTGTAGTGTTACGGTCAAGGACATCGCTATCATTTTCTTCCATTCAAAGTATTATTGCTGTTGTTAGAAACGTTGACGGTATCAAACAGTACTCACCGAAACCCTGCGGTTTGTCGCGCAGACTGCGCGGTGCCCACATGTTGCCCGCCGCGGCAAAAGACGCGCAGCTTCAAAGAAGCGGGGGCATTAAGAAACACAGCAACCCCATTGGCAAACAAATGATGATTGGAAGGTCCGTCCCCTCTGGCACGCAGAGCGCCCACATGCTGCTGTTTGGGGCAAACGTGTGCGGCTTGAAAGAAGCAAGGGGGCTGGGGGGGAGGGGGTGTAGCTCGTTCCCGTTTGCAGACATGATGAAGGCAAGCACGCAGTGATTTAAGAAAACTGGGGGGCGCAGACACCATGTCTACATGCTGCTTTTGTACGGCAAGATGCGGCAAGCAATCACAGCATTAAAGAAGAGGGGCATTTGGCGGGGCGTAACCACCCCCAGAAGCAAGGAGGTTGGCGCATGCGCTGCCCCTGCCATTTGTAAACATGTGAAGATCCATCCTTTGTGGCGCGCAGAGCGTCCACGTGCTGCCACTTGAGGCAAGCGTGCGCAGCTTTAAACAAGAAAGGGGTTGGGGGGCGACGCAGGTCCCGCCCACTTTGCGAATGTATGATGACAGCTTTAAAGAAGCAGCGTGGGGTTGGCGGGGGCGCAGCTGCCCACAGTTGCAAACACATGATGATTGGAAGATCCATGCTCTCTGGCACACAGAGTGCTCACATGCTGGTCTGCAAAGCAAGCATGTGCGGCTTTGAAGAAGCGGGGAGGTTGGCGCGTGCGCAGACCCCGCCACCTGCACATATATGATGATTGGAAGATCCATCCTTTGCAGGCAGAGTGTCCACATGTTGCCATTTGAGGCAAGCATGCGCACCTTTCAAGCGAGAGGGTCCCCCGATTTGCGAACATATGGGGTTGCATAAAGCTCCATTTTTTTACTTGACCCGACAGTTGTAATCGTTTTGATTGTTTCCTCGTATCGCTTTTTTTTCAAGTTTGGGGCCTTATCGTTTTCGTTATCGTTGTTTTTTCCTCTAACCGTTTTTGAATAAAAACCCAACGCTCTGCACTTCGCTGCAGACCAGGACATGATCCTCTGGCGCGGGGTTAGTATACAACCCCATATGATGATCTGATGATGGCGACCACCGAACCCCGGGACCGAAGTTTAGGGCACCACAGGACCACCAAACGATAGGACCGGAAGTCCAGAAGACCACGGCCACCGGACCAGAGGACCACGGGACGCCGAGACCACAGAACCTTAGAACTACTCGATACACACCAGGACAGAGCCACACCTTTGCAAAATTAACCCTGGACCCCCCAAAGCCGAAGATCCTGAAACCTATTAGGTTGGAGTTGTTCAAGGCTTTGACAAATAATGTTTTGATTCAAACCCAGTCTTGGGCCCTTGCGTTCAGTGCCCTGGATAAATGAACCCCCAAGCCACACCAGAAACAATCACCTGAAACCTCTCTCGCAGATACCTCAAAAGTGAACGGGACACGTAAAGCGATGTGTTGTAATTAGATCACAAGGCTTCTAAGTCTTCTACTCACCCCAGCAAGCCACCAAACAAAAGTAAACAGTGCAAGGAAAGCTAAGAACAGGGATAGTGATCTGGTCGGATTCTCAGCGAGACGAGAGGGTTTTGAGAGGAAGTATAGACTGCCTTTACGCTCCAGACGCGAAGCTTCGACAGAACAAGCCTGCAGGGATGATGCGAGAGTAAGGATGATACGCACAAGGATGAAAAAGGGCCGAGGCAGAACTTCCTAAGAGCCTGTACCCGAGCCCCTAAACACTCCTCTTTGAATCCTGCATTGAATTGCAGCAACGTTCTGCAACCTGACTTTGCAACCTGACAGTTTTTCTAAGTAATGCCCTTATCATGCGAATGTTTACCGGGCTTTCTAAATCAGGGGATTCATGTTTGCAAGCTCCTATCATGGGGAGTATCATATCTTGGGATCGAAAAGGGACTACATTTTCCGAAACACGCAACCCGCCTATACTCAAGACCTCAAACCCTCAAACCCAAAATCCAAAACCTAAGCCCTCAACCCTAAACGCCAAACCCTGAACCCAAACCCTTAACCCTAAAGCCCATGCCCGTATATCTGGATAGCCCGATATAACCCTGACTTTTGGCAACGTACCCCCTATATCCCACATAGCACCCATGTATATCCCTAGTACACCCCCCTATATACCCCTATATGTTCCCATATATCCCAATGCACCCCCCTACGCATCCGATAGGTCCCGGTACATTTCTTTTAGGAGCCCTGGTGAGTGCTTTGCTTTGTAAGGTTATATGCTGTATATAAAATAAGTTAGGGTTTAGGGTTTAGGGCTTAGGGTTTAGGCCAGAATACTATACCTCAAAAAGACGATACAATCTTACTCTACATTCAATATTGGGCACCATAATATGGCTATATTCTGTATATAAATACTATACACCAAAAGGAGGATATAATCTTATTCTACATTAAATATGGGGTACCATACTATCCCCAAGTAAAAAAATACTACTCAAATAACCCCTATATAACCCCAGTTTCCATTTCATTTTCCATGTTCTTTTCCATTGATTCTCCATTATTAGGGTTATTAGGGCCCTAAACCCTATATTGGGTACCATACTATCCCCAAGTAAGTAGCTTCCATTTTCTTTTCCATTATCAATTATCCCTATATAACCCTAATATAACCCCATTATAGTAGTTTCCGTTATATTTTCCATTATCCCAATATATACCCCAATATACATACCCAAGTAAAAACAATACTACCCTAGTGGACCTCGAGCTGCAGCAGCTGCCGCGGCGAGGCGCTTCTTCTCCTCCTTGCTGGGCTCCTGACTCTTGGGGACTTCTCAAGAGGGATATTATAGGCCATAGTCTAAACTCCTGAAAGATGTTATTTTAGGGGCTACATAGGGGACTACTGCAGGGGCAATTATGAAGGGGGATACTAGGAGTTTAGACTATAGCTATATGGGATGTCCCCAAGTTCGGGGTACCTTTACGTAGAGGGAGTTATATAGGCATTCTATAAGGATAAATAGGGCTTAAGGCTTTGGGCCATGGCTTCCCAAAATTCAGGGCACCATTAAAACTTAGGGGTCCTTTCTGGCAGTGCCTGTAATGACGCTTGCAATATTCTGGGGGCATATGAGAGGACCGATGTTTGCATGGAAACTTCCAAATGGAAGTATATGGGTATGTGATTATGTGACATGTGTATAGGACGTAGGGCTTAGGGCTTAGGTTCTACGGCTGCGGTTTAGGGGCTTAGGGCTTGGCGCCTGGGTTTATTTTCTGGCCAGCCTCTCAACAGGTAGGGGACCACAAGGATATTGCGAGGGGGTTCTCGTGGTCCTTACCTCAGAGCATAAGGATGACCTTGAAGAAGCCCCACTTGAGCTTGGAAAGTGAATGGAGTTCAGTGTTCTGGGGATTGGAGCTAGGGTTTCGGGCTTTGGGCTTGGGATTTTTGGAATCAGGCACCAGTTGGGATTTCAAGCTGAACAGTGCACTAAGATAAGAAGGGTTTCTCAAACGAAATGTAGAAAGGTGTTTCCGGATCGTCAGTAGTGATTCAACATGATTCACACCGCCCTCATAATACAACTAAAATCAAATCATCGTTGCCCACTATATAGGATGCTGATTTGTATACAGCATTTCAAGGGTTGGGGATACTTCAATTTTGCTCTCAAACCCATACTCTATTTCAATCCCGTGTCTCTAAACCTGAGGGTTAATTCCTAGATCTGAAAGCTGCAGTCCTGTGGTGGAGCAGCAGTGGGCGCAGCTGGTGCCTTGCATGTTCCCATTGCACGACCAGAACCCCCCGCCTCCCCCCCTCGTGGATAAGGCCTAGGTTAAGTTTCGGCCCTTGGGGGCCTAACCTAAAGTAAAGCATTCGGAAAATGAGAGCCGTGTCTAAAAGGCTCATAGAGTTTCACAAGGACTTCAGGGATATGATGGGACCTCGAACAGAGTTGTGTAGAACTTACAGCCCAGTGGATACGAAAACACGAAAGTTTAAACCGTTCAAACCGTTCAAACCTATTTGGTAGGTCTCCTGCGTCTGGCTTTCCAAATTTCTGGGCTAGTTCAAGGCAGAGTAATCGCATAGGCAGTCCATCCCCGGCTTCAAGTACATGCCCAAACGAGCTATAATCTTAACTCCTAATATCCCTTCCAATCACCCCTGTAGCAGTCCCCTATGTAATCCCTAGACAACACCGTTTAAGGAGTTTAGACTATAGCACAAATGAGTACGAGTTTAAGCGACCCTCAAGAAGCTCATAGCTTCTTTTGCAAACTTGGGAACTATGTTTGGGGCAAAGCTGGGCAGACATGAGTGCAGGTAAGGCAAAAATTGCATTACACATATTTGCAGGTCCAACGTCCCTGGCCAATTGAGTCTTGAGGTGGGGGAGTCGCTGTGCTACATTTCAGAAGTGGATCATGTAGGAGTCTTTGGGTGCAACAGCTGATACCCCGCATCATCTCGAGTTTCCGAATTCTTGCCACTTCAATGGCAACAGCCCCCCCGATTTGGTGGTCCCTGTCCAGCATCTAAGAGCCATAAAAGGTGCCCACATGCCACATGCTTTTCAAATCCACAGAACAAAGGCATGCTCAATGCTGATACCACAACACCTACGACCCTGAACCACCCCTTTTTTCCCCCGCCCAAACTTCCTGTATTGTCTCAAGAGATCCCGTGTCATCTGCCTGTTCTGGCAGACGCGGATCGTTGCCAACTTGCCTGGACATTCGGAGTCTCAGTTTTTGCTTTCAAGCTTTTGGCTCACCTTGACACTTTGTACGGTATTCTGGATCCACGGCGCGTTATAACGATTGTATACAATTCCTGCATGACCACGAAGAAACAGATGTATGCTCAAGCTCCCTGATTATCACGATAACCTGCCCATATATGTATGTACATAAATGAATATATGCATGCGTGCTCCAAACAGCAAACACCAAAGTCCCCCGGCAAAACTTACAGGTGCTTAGTATGCACCAAGGGCACATATTATACAAGGGTTACATATATATATATATATATATACGGGTTATATTCCTTATTCCCTAAAAAGCATGAGAAACACAAAAAACAACGCACACCTAAAGTGCAAGCCTCGCCAGCGATGCCCCAAGCGCTGCTCGCATTTGCTCTCCTGGCAGCCAACGGCGGCGGCTTGATCCCCACAGGGGTTGGGAAGAAAAATAATACGACATGTTTTTGCTATAGTCTATACTCGTGGAAAAGGGCTATAAGGGATGATATGGGGCAGTATTTTTGGGGTGATTAAGGGAGATACTAGGAGTTCAGACTATAGCTCATATGCTTTCTCACGATTCATGTGTGCGACGCTGGGTCATCTGAGACAACAGACTCGGAACGTAGGGGCTTATTTACTTCCAAACTACTCGGATTATGTGATGGAAGGTTCGAAGCAGTCACATGCGCTGTGTTTCAAGTATTAAAAATTGCGCACCCATGACTTGCGCTATCCTACGGGCCATGAAATTTTCAAATGTTGGCTTTGCACGGTTTGCCGCAAAATGAGCATAGAATGAAACCTTTAGTGCAGAACCTTGCAAAGCATGCGATCCGCAACGAATGCATACAGCACTGTCAAATTTCAGATTAGATGTACAAATGCGTAAGAATCTGAGAACTTGTGAGAAATACGATTCAAAGACTATGTTCATGACTCGAACCCATCTCAATATCGACAACTGATATTTTAAAAGCCTTCGCACAAAACTCTTCAGTCTTCGAGCCCTAATAGGCGTGCCAGTGTTGAAAACTACTGCTCCCACCGCCCGTTAAAGCCCAATGTGCCTGGTGGTACTTGGAAGGTCCAAAATAAATGCCACGAAGAGGCTCCCCATATAAAACAAGAAGGTCAATAAATTGAGTTACTGATTTCTCAAAGCGCCACCCACGTATTCAACTGCCACATTGATGCACATTGCAGAGCCAAGCGGGTCCTAGCTTCGCATCCTGCGCATGCTACATCGAGGTTTTCCAAAGTTTGGGCCATTGCACAACGCGTCTTTAAGGCATGTGGGAGCTCAAAGGGCACTGCGGGGGATGTATGCAAAGATTCTCAAACTTATGCATCATTTTCTGGGTCCCTGTAGTACCTGCTGAAACTAGTGCGTAAAGAAAACGACCGCAAGACATTTTCCACACGGTTCCTTTGAGGCAAAGAGGCTGGAATCCTCACGAACTATGCCCTTGCAAGGTCTTGGCTACGGCTTCGAGTAGCCAACAAGACGATGACAATCAAACCGCTAGATAATCTCACTTGTGACACAAACAGTACTGATCGGTTTTCCTGAAGGGCACTATCTAGTAGTTTCCATTTCATTTTCCATTATCCCAATATAATCCCTATATTCTATTACAGTTTCCATTTTCTTTTCCATTATCCCCATATAACCCCAATACCCTATAGAAACCCTATATAGCCCCTGTATAATCCCTATAATCCTTGTAGTTTCCATTTTCTTTTGCATTGTCCCCATATAACCATGACTGAAGTTGCTGCGTGCTTGCTCTAGGGGTGCGGTTTCGCAGCATTTTGGGGTTCGGCTTCTCACCAGAACTGGACAAACCTTAACATCAGGCTCTTGCCTAGAAGCGCATGATAAATCTGATGTCACTGAAACGTGATGTTTCTGCAGGTCTGGATGTTCAGTTGAATGCCCTGGCTCTTGAACTGCCTTGGTCTTGCAACGCTCCATTGTTGCTATGGTCGAATCCGCAATTGTCATGAATCTTCACAGTTGAGCTATGTGGGCCTTCAAGCTGATCACATCGAAGGACCTTATGAGAATGTGGGGACACTTCCAAAGTTGGATATGTTTTCCGGATTCCATGGCAAAAGCCAAGGCCAGAATTTAAAATCTGGGATACCCCTACACCGTCGGCCCTAAATCCTAAGTAGTAGTTTCATGTAGTTTCCATATTATTTTCCGTTATCCTAATGTAACCCCAATATATGATGCATGCAGCAGCGAGGTAACCTGGCCGTGTGGCGGCTTTTAAAAAACTCTTGGTGGCTGTTTGGGTCGCAGCAACCCTGTGCCAGTCCTCCAGCTCCATGCCTGAGAGAAAAAAAGCGCGGGAAAAATTATCCCGCACAACAATGTAAGAGCAGGAGAACTACAAATCTACATGCCAGCAGTATGCTGACAAGTTGATGCATATTTCATATCTCGAACACTAAGAATGGTTTGGGTGGGAATGTCCATCTATGAGAAGTACGCAGGAGCAGGAACAGTGGTTGAGGATCACAAACCACTCTTCACCAGCATCAGCTGCCACGCAAGAATATCTTGCAGCCCCTGAGGTGGCTACAAACAGTAGTTGAGTACTGCCCCACCCTACAGCAGTCAAATACAGAACCCTTGTAAAGATATGACGTGTATACACTTAGAACTTAGAAGAGACTGTTATAGGCTGGTGGATTCATGTAAAGCATAGGCACTTGTTCTGGTACTTCAAACTCCCCATTGGCAGCATCGGTAACTATCCAACAGCTGCGAGCCCAAAAAAACAAAGAATATGGGGATTTCCTCAAAGTCGGGGTGCCTTTGTCGGGATTCTTTGGGATAATAGTCTCCCTAAGAAACTACCATATGGCATTTCGCGGCAGATAAAGGGTATCCGAGTTCCACATGTTTACGGCGATCTGCTTGGGTTCCCCCCTCTGGGTGCCACAGCCAGCACTTCACCCAAAACATGGAGCATTAGGCTGCAAATTCTGATGCTAGGAAAAACTACAAGACGACTGCTCATGATAAAAACAAAGCCTGAACATGCTAGCTCAAGAGGTAGTTTCCCTAAATAGGGGGAGCCTAACATAGCCCCCCAAATACTATAATCCCTATTATAAGGACGCCCCAAAAAGATACCCCTACTTTGGGAAAACCCCAAAGAAAAATTTCCCAAGTGCTTCCCCCCCCCACTCCGCGGTCAATTAAGCCAAAATCAGACCCTGGTAGGTGCACTTGTCTTCATCTCCAGCTGGTTCAAGGTTGAGCTCTGTTATGTGGGGAAACTACTATAATAGGGTACATAATAGGGTTTTCTATTGGGGTTACTATAGGGATCATGGAAACTACTATATTGTATAATAGGGTATATAATAGGGTTTTATATTGGGGTTACTATAGGGATAATGGAAACTACTATATTGGATCATATGGGTGGCTGTCAAAATTGTGGTCCCTTTTTGGATCCCTATGAAAATACGGCATCGAATATTTAGGGTACCCAAAAAGGGATCATAATTTTGACAGCCACCCAATGTAGGTTGAACAGCGGAAAACTTGATTGCAGCTATGACGCTCCATCGAGGAAACTCTTTTCCCCACCAAGCATGTAGCACAAAACTTCCAACAGAACAAACTGGCATTGGGAAAGCGCATCCTCCCAAAATCTCGAACGTTATACCTTGCCAATTCTGTCGCACATGTACAAAAGAGCATCATGGCAGGTAACTTTGCGATACTTTTGATTAAATAGATAGTCTTCGGGCTGATCTTGAAGCCCCCTGAAACCAAAACGGTCATTCCGATCCTGCACTGCCCTGAGACCGAAGCCGTTAATAGAAGAACGAAGGTACAGCGATCCTGGTCAATTTTTCACATGAACTTCTACATAAATTGCTAGTATCCCCCTTAAAAACCCCTACAGTAGTCCCCTATAAAGTCCCTTATGTACCCTCTTTAAAGAGTTTAGATTATGGCTCACATGAAGCCCAATCTGTGAAGCCCCGCCTTGATCTTTGTCTTCGGCTGCCATTTCTTCGAGGCTGCGCTTTTTGGAAGCAGGCTCCTGCTCCTTCTTCTCCTGCTGCGGCTTCACATCATCCTCCCCATGTAAACCTGCCGCCTCTCTCTCTCTCTCTCTTTCTCCCTCTCCGTTGCATGGGAAGCCTTCCTTCGGCATCAAATTTGTACTCGGGTATTTTGGTTCTTCGAACCAGGGAAGCCAACGCTTTGCTCTGAAATCCTACAACAGCACAGCTGGAGCCACGCTTTGCTCCAACTTGTAGGGTCCAACCCGGGACTGGTCTCAGAACTCCAAAGCTGGAAATATTGAGGTTATAATATTAGGGTTATATAGGGGTAATGGAAAAGAAAATGGAAATTGCTATAGTATAATGGGGTAAATATTGGGGTCATAATATTGGGGCTTCTAACAAAGCACTCAACAGATAAATCGTAGCTTCCATTTTCTTTTTCCGTTATCCCAATATTACGCCAACATTACCCCAATATTACCAACCCCGTGGCAACTTCATACCTCGCAGTCACACCTACACCATGCTACAACCCCTCTTCTCGTGTCCACTTTTCAGCATTGCTTTCTGCTTTGGTAGCTATAATGTGATCACCCATTATCATCCATATGCAGCTTGCCTTCACAGCTAAATTTCTCATTCCACTTTGTACTGGAGTTTGCCATCATCATGGCGATCTTGGTTCAAGCCACTGTAATTCCAGCAATACCCACGTGCAGTTTAAATGTCTTGTATAATCTTCATGTAGCGCACATGTGGCCCTTGAACAGGACCTACCTCAAAAACATGACGAACTAACATTATTAATACTCAGATTCCTTTTCTGATTTGGAACAAGTTGCGTGATTACATTGAGCTTGGGCTAGGGGCTATCTAGGCAAAAGGTCTGCCAAAATGAGCCCGGAACTCTCAACCCCCAATCCCAACCCTAAGCTCTATACACGCCCTGTTCTAAAACCCCACACCCCAAGCCCTGTAAATTCTTGAGCCCTTACATACTATAAGCCCTATTCCCAAAACCTAACCCTATACCCATACCTCGGCGCCCTGCGCCCTATTCCTACACTCTAGCCCCTGAACCCTCCAGTCTCTTCCTCAGACGAAGGAACTGCCTCCGGTTCCTTTTCCTTGCTCTTTTCCTCTTTTTTGTCCTCATCCTGCACTGGATTGAGAATCCGATCTCCAGCGCTGACGCCTCGGCAGAAAGAGTGCAGACGTTATGCAGGGATTTGGTTTTAGGCTTTAGGGGTTCAGGGTGTAGGGGTTCAGGGTTTAGAATGCAGGGTTTAAGGTGATCTTTTGTGTGCTGCACGGAGCCAATTACAGTCTGTCAAAGGGGCACTGCTAAGGGTTCTGAAAGCTTGTAATATAACCATCATCCAATTGTTAGTGTGAGCAGCAGCACCCAAGTGACTTCTCAAACCAAGGATGTAGCTGTGGTTCCTAATATTCCTGCAGATATTTGGAGATTCTGTGGGTATTGCACGGTGGCTCGGGCTGAATGGGTCGGGCCTCACAATTGTTCGGGTATAGAAGATGTTGGGAGCGCACACAGATGAGAGATTTTCGGTGTAGAGGCCACAAACAAAGAAAAGGGCTAAGGGCTTTAAAGTTGACGTTGGAGCAGGAAGACCGGGCCGTGGCCCGGGATCTTTTAGAATATGGAGTTTAGGTTCAGAACTTTGGCCTCATGGGCTAGGAAGTCAACATATCACAGGTGTCCCCTTCAAGACCATTTTGAGGAATTCCCATACAAAGATCCGCTCTGATTTCTTTCGAAGTCAGATATACGGGCTCATGCTTGCAAAGATGAATCAATCTTCAAACAATTTCCAAAACAATCGCCAGCTGAGTCCTTGACCTGAGCTTCAAAACAAGTCTGACCGGAAACGTGGGTCCCAAGGGGAGTGTTTGGTTTCTAGTACTGTTAAAACTATTACCATTATGGTGATTCATATCTTCCTTATATTGCTATGGGCTCCAGATCAAAAACCTGAGGCGTGAAAATATCATCCCCTCCTCCAACACCCCCAACGCATAAGAAATTATCACATACCATATTATCTACCACAACGCGAATCATCAGTATCGGGGGGGCAGGGGGTGGGGGTGGGAGGTTGTGATTATGAAGAAGATTAAGTGGTCCGGCTTGGTTGACTTTTCTGTCTGTAAGGGTCCCTATTTTGAGAAGCCCTTGAAAATCCCGTGTGAGCTTCCAAGCTAGTTTGGGCAGGGTAATCCTTGGGTGCTGGATCCCTTTTGTCTGCCAAGGCACTTAGCACGACCACTTCATCGTCATCGTCCTCCGGTGCAACACCTGGCAATCTACTGCAGCTGACGGCCTTGTAGTCATGAGCCGTAACCACTTAATGAGAACAGAAGCAGGACATCCCCACCTACTCCTTTGTTTAGTTTAGCTCTCGTGATGGCGAGGATAACTCCTCAAGGAAACAGACTCGGGAGAACGAACAGCTCCCAAAGGTGCTTTCGCAGCTGTATGGCACACGTTCTTATACGCCCGCACTTTATCTGTTGCCGGTGTGTAACGTTCAAATTCTGCGGCTCGGTTCTAAGCAAGCCAAAATGTTGGCTGAAACCTTGAGGATGTGGACGCAGGCGGATTTAGACAACGTTTCGCAGCCGTTCACGGAGTCTCGGCCTTGGGACGCGAAGCTCTGTAGACGCCAGTCTGACCACCTATTTGATTTTTGCAAATACTATTCAACATCCCGAAGAGGAAGATCTTTACCAGGGCGTATGCTCTTGTTCTCAAACCTGGCATTGCCTAAATTTGTCTCCTGCCAACTATTCCTCCACAGCCCTCACGACTGCAATGCATAGCGGCATAGCGGAACTGCAGATTCTCCACAAACATTGCTGCGTAGTGTCATGTCTGCAAGCCTGCAGGTCTTCACGGAGAAACAAACATATTCGTTCTATGCGTAGGTAGACCTCCACAACAAATGGGGCCGTGTTCCTCCAGTGGCTTTGTAGCAGCCAGTCGAAGCAGCAACCCCTTCGACATCCCAAAAGTGTTTTGGACCGCCTACCGCTGAACTGAAACAAGCCGAGTCAGTCCCTCGAAAAACGAAAGGAGAAGCAAGTCAACTTTGAGGTAACGGCGGCAACTGGCTGCCATTTGACCGCAATACAAGGACCTGGAAAGACCCTCTCTTCCTGCGTTTCATTGCGGGCAAAGGTTGCAACTGCCAACCTGCACCTTGAACTTCAAATCCTACATGCCAGCTCCCGCATCCCTAAATTTATACCTGTAACTTTAAATGTTTTCCTCCCTCCGCCCTGGCTTGGCTTCCCGGCCCTGAGGGTTTGCAGCTGGTGGCGCTGGGTTCTGAGCCTCCGAAGTTGGGTGTAGAGAACTGCTATATGCGGGTTATGTAGGGGGTATATAGAACAGAAAACAAGATGGACACTACTAATTATTTAGGGTCTAGGGCTTAGGGGCTGTATAGGGGTAGACCATTTAGGGTCCAAAGCTCAAGTTTCGGGCTCAGGCCGCAGGGCTTCCATAAACTTTACACTCTAGACCCTAAACCTACAAGGGCTTACAGATTCGAGCGTCAGGCCTGGGGCTTGCCATTCAGGCCTCGGGGTCGGGGCTCGGGCCTCGGGGTGTAGGGGGCTTAGGGTTTAGTGCAAGTTCAAGGCTTTTTGCATGCAGGGTTATCTTACGGGTGGTTCATGGGGAATAAGAGAATATCATACATAATCCTTGTAAGGTAAATTCCCTTATGCCCTTATAACCCCTCCAGTAAGTAATTGGTAAGCGGAAAGCAGCTGATATTCCCAATAAGGACCTGAAGGAGACTAAGGGGCGGTTGTTGGAGAGCCTGCGATCGTCTTACATATTTTCGCGCCCCAACCCCTACTCAGCTTATACACTGAGCAGCAAGCAGGATCCAGAATCTTGTCTCAGCATTTTGAGACGTACTGTGTTTTGCTGAAATTGAATGGCATCCTTACACACCTCGAAAGGATGAGACCCTTTCTGAAAGAGGAGCCCGTAATGGTGAGAACCACTCCTACAATCTTCATGATATCCCGCAGTACTACATTTAAAGACCTGTATCTTGCCACTGAATGTATACAGAACTCCCACGCATGGCACTCTCACAAAGGGAGCCCAAAAAAGAAGCCAGACGTCCTCATAAGCATAGAGCCTTCAACACTAAGCCTGAAGACTTTAAACGCGACACCTGGTAAACCTTCTCAAGTTAAATGCCATGGTCCGTTCAGGCTATCTGCAATTATTCATGGGGCATAGGCCTGTGGGTTAGATTACTATGAGGTACCCCCCAAAAGGACAAACCTCCTCAAGAAGGACTTCTTCAGAAAGGATTATATGGTAGTTTCCCTAAATAAAGGGACCCCAATATGGACTCCAAAATGCTATAATCCTTATTATTAGGACCCCCAAAAGGGTGCCACTAACTTTGGGAAACTCCCATATAAGGGAACACGCATTAAACCTTCACCCGAGCCTCGGGGGCACTGGCGCCTGCCTTCGGCTGCGGTAACTTTCGCCGGGGTGCCCTGGCCGAAAACAAACAACCTTCCCAAGTGGAAACTCATATTTCCTCGTTTACACATGCTTGACTATCCATATATATATATATGTCTACCCTAGACTTCGAAACCATATACTAATGCATGTGCTGAATACGAGAAAATGTGCCTTAAACTTGTACCACATAAAATGCCCCCCAAATCTTCTTTTAATCACTTTGTCCCCTGTCATCAGCTTCAGTTGGAAAGTTTCAGGCAAGGTTTTGTGTGCAGACTTCAAGGGGGGCAGAGTTAGACTCTGGCATTGTGCCCTAAACCTTAATCAGCCCTAAGGGCCGAAACCCTAAGCCCATAAATCTTAAACCCTCAACCCTCAACCTTTAGATCCTAAACCTGTGGACTCATGCCACCAGTTCATGCAGATTGTTAATATGGATGGCATTGGAGTAGAAAGCCTCCTTCCCCATGACAATGATCCAACTGGGCAGCATTGCTGTAGTCATGTCTTTGAGCGTAGAATTAGCTATGCCCATTCATTGCTGTAGCTGGCTATTGTATTGTGATCTTCCAAAGCAGGACCATGGACACTTTTCTTCCATCTTACAGCTACTAGACAGCTCATAGCTGAGCCTGTCCACCAACTCCACTCAAATGGAGGCAACCTGCACAAACCCTAAGCCCTAAACCCCAAACGCTTAACCTAAACCTTGAATTTGTAGACTTACTTGGAGGGTCAGGGGACTTAGTAAGTAGGCTAATAACCCTATAAGCCATATAATAACTGCAAGTATCCAGAATATTAACCTACATATGAGCTATAGTCTAAACTCCTACTATCCCCCTTAATAACCCCTATAGTAGATCCCTATAGTAATCTCCTATATAGCCCCCTTTAAAGAGTTTAGACCATAGCTCATATGAAGTCCCCCTGACCCCCCTAAGTAAGTCATCTCCCACTTCCTAACACAACAGTCCTACTTGTAGGAAACCTAAGGCAAGGGCAACATATCCCTCAAGGTTATACCGTAGTTTAGGGTTTAGGTTCCAGGCTCCCTATTCCCGAGACCGAAATTCCCGCAGTAACACCGCACAGCAAATGAGCCATGATCTGTTGAATCCCACTTTATAATCCTTATATAACCCCTTTACGGAGTTTAGACTATAATCATCTCCGCCAATATTAAACACCCCACCCGCCTAATATTGAACACTCCCAATTGTGGTATAGTGTAAAATATTGGAAATATTTAATATTAGGGGGGAAGGGGGTTTAATATCAGGGGGAGAGGATTAGCTCAAATGAGCCCGAGAGAGCCTTGGCGGTGTAGGAGGCTTACGGACCCTACGCTTCCTTTCCTCCTCCTTGCGGAGCTCCTCCTTCAGAAGTCAAACGGTTGCGGGTGGGAGGGTTTAGGGTTCAGGATGGGTTTGGGATTTCATGAGGGAAGGTCTAAGAATCAGCTTAAGCATGGGGCTTGGGGTTCGGAAGTTTAGGGTTTACAGTTGGGACCTCTAGGGCATGTGGATAGACACGGAGCAGAGGGAGTCCCTGCTCAGAAGTAGACAAGGCTGGTTCAAAAACCTCCCCAAGTTACAACCAACTCATCGCATGGGTTCATACCGCTACATTTTTTTTTATAATTAGGGGTACCTTTTGTGAGTCCCTAGAATAATCATCATAGTACTGTGGGGTCTACATTGGGGTCCCGGTATTATCTGTATTGTGGGGAATGTAACAAATCAACGCACATCTCAGGCTCAGGAGTGGCCAGCTTGTCAGAATGTTCAGTCTAGAGCATGCAGGTCATGGAAGGCAACCCAGAATTTACAAAAAGCGCTAAGGAGAGTGCTTCTTTGAGGGTTGTGGTCAGGGTGCTCTATTCTTAGGCATGAAAATCCTCTAGTCACATTGAACGCGCTTTTCTTTAGAAAGAAACGAAGGCTGGGCCCACACCACAGGCAAGAACCCACAAGTAAGATTCGGCTTTACCTTGTCAAGGGATTATAGGGTATATATTGGGGGTTATATTGGGATAATGGAAAAGAAAATGGAAACTACTATAATGGAAAAGAAAATGGAAACTACTATACTGGAAAAGAAAATGGAAACTACTATAATGGAAAATCAAATGGAAACTACTATAATGGAAAATCAAATGGAAACTACTATAGTATATAGGGATTATAAACAGATTTCTGCCTTCACTTTTACCCAGCTGGGTTCGCAGATTCCCCACCGGTGCTGACTAGCCTGGTGAAATGGGAATGACTGTTTATGAAATGGGTTCGTCCTGGCCTCGACAATATGAGCCACTGAAAAGCAACAAAAGCACGAGTACCAATCAACGCATGCGGAACTAATGCTTTGGCTTCCGGCAGCTGCCTGGCCCCTTATTTCGTTATAATGCAAGCGTGTGCTTAACCTGGCTTGATAATTTTCAGTCTTTGCCTTCTTCAACCACTGATGCAACCTGTAGTCACATACCAACCTTTGCTGAGCTGCGTGGGCTCGCCTGAGACATGCGCCCTACTGCACATCAACCTACGAACGTCAGGCTAAGACGCCAAATCCCTTACGCTTACACCCTCCGCGCCAAAGCCTAACCCCAAATGCATGAAATCGACAACCTCACTTCAGGCCAAAAGGCTAGACTCTAAACCCTCAATGGCCTTTGCACTTTGCAGCTCAACCCTAAACGCTAAATGACCACACTTTTTAAACGAGTCCTTCTGGAGCTCGCTGCTGTCCGGAGGCATGACAGGCTGCGCTAGGATTGGGGACTTCTCCCGTTCCTCCTGGCGCGCTGGCGGTTGGAGGGTTGTGTGAGGGCTAAGGTGCAGGGATCAGGGCTCGACGCTGTCGGTGTTGGGTGTTAATGTTCAAGGCTATAGGGTTTCGGGGTTGTGGGTCAGGGTCTGGTGTCTAGGGCTTGGGATTGCAGCATCGCGCAGGGCTAGGCCTGAAAATTGTAGTAAAACGGGAACATTGCGTTGCTGTCAACACAATGAATGAACAAGACTCAAATTGTTCGTGGTGATTTTAGGGCTACTTGCGACATAATCGTGAGGGGCTATGGCTGCGCAGGGTTTTACGCCCCTTGTCAGGAGCATTCGAAATTTTCTCAACTTGCCTTGCACGCTGAACCCCATCGACCAAGCCTCATGATCGATGTCCTCCGGCTCCTTCATGTCTTCCTTCTGCTCCTGCAGGCTTAGGCTGCAAAATTGTGGAAATACACAATTTTGCACAGGGTCCTAAATAATCACCTGTATACTTTTGAGGCCTTTGAGACATCCTTTACAATAATGAGAAGCGGAGCCCGGGACCCTGATGCAGGTATTTATTCAGGTCTCATTGAGTAATAGAGTACCATGTTGGCCCTAAGAATGAGACAGTGCTGGCGCAGATGGGTTACAGTTACATGCTTTCCAACAATCTTCCGGAGCATGAACAGGTTGCTTAGAAACATCAGCCACATTTTTTACTTACCTGCGACATCCTGCAACCAGAAACACCACAGTGACAACTGTACCTTTGCATCAGAGCCCTGCACCTGCAATGCCAAGTACGACAGAAACCTGAAAAACAAAGATCATCCCCCCCCCCTTTTGCCTTATAATACCCTATGATACCCCATCATACCCTAGTAGTTTCCATTTTCTTTTCCATTATCTCAATATAACCCCAATATAACCCTAGATACCCCCTATATGCGCGGACCTCCTGTTTCTCCTCGTCCTTCTTTGCTTTCTCCTCATCCTCGGCTTCCTGCATGTCCAAAAATGCGTGTCAAAACGAGCAATCAAAAGCGGCCAAACAGTAAATACTATAAACCCTCTACTCATGAGTCCCTACATGGGGTCTGTATGCTTCTCCCAGAAGTTCTCGACCATTTGCTTTCGCATGTGTTTCTACAGCTCTACCGCTCAACTGTCCGCATCTTCACCAGATGTGAGCAAGCTGAATGGGGGAGGAAAACCAGCAAATAAAATGTGCATTTCTGGCCCTAGCCTGGACGCAACATAAACGAGTACGCGTGTGGCGAAGCGATTCGAAAAAAAAAAACACTTCAGTTCAAGTGGAACCCAAACTTGTCAGCGTACGGCTAAGACGTAACATCAAGTTACAAACCGGTCGGAGCCAACAACATGCCAGCAATACAGGAACATAAAGGAACAACCCAAAGGCCCGCTCAACACTCCGCAACAAAAAAAGGTCTAAATTACTCCCCCTCTTCTGTGAAGGTAGGGGGTGCAGAGGGTGGGGGAGAGAAAGGGAGGAAAATGAATTGTGGGAGGTTCAACCACTTTCTCGGCACTGACGCATGGATCATGGTGCGCCTGAGCTTTACCAGGACCATGGGCAGGCGAGCAGCAAAGGGAAGGAACGCCAATCATGGATCTCACATGTTTCACATGCGTGGCAACCCATCTCCACATGGTTTCCCAAAGCCATGTCTGAACAAACCTCCAGTTTCATGGAAACAGGCCCACCCAAAAAATCTGAGACCTATGCCCAGAGGGGAAAATTCGAATGGTAACAACACTGAAGAGTAGGCTTGAATTCGGTGCCCTGTGCTTATATAGAACATGGCACTTTCCGTTTGCGGATCCCTTTCCTGAATTGGGGCGCGGAACAAACAAGCCAGCCGAGGTTGCAATTCTACTTCAAAGCAAGTCAGGCCTGCACCTATAGGGGTTATATAGGGTTATATTGGGGTTATATTGGGGGTTATATTGAGATAATGGAAAAGAAAATGGAAACTACTAGGGTATTATGGGGTATAATGGGGTATTATGGGGTATTATAAGGTATAGAGAGCCTGTTTGAATGCGCCCCGCCCCTCCCGGTACCTAGCAGTTTGTACTGCCCTTAAGAGACTCCATTGTCCCCAAAACAAAATGCAGTTGAACTAATCCGTTCCCCCTAATATGAAGCCCCCCCACCCCTAAAACTAAATACTCCCACTATGTGGTATATAATGTATATTGGGAGTATTTACTTTAAGGAGGGGTGAGATGGTTTAATATTAGCAGGGGGATTATGTTGAATATATCGAAAGCTGTAATGAAGATGGGCCTGGGCCGGAGACTTCGGCGCCTCAGCGATGGCCGGCTCGGCGGTCGGAGGCGTTTTCTCCTTTCGGCTGTAAGACTCAGTGGAAAATGGGTGAAGGTCTTACAGTTCGCTACAGGGTTTAGCGGGTTTAAGGTTTTGGATGGTGCCGTTGCGCGCACATGGCGAATTATGAGAAATCTGATAAACACCTTGTGGATTCTTCATGAAAGACACGTACCATACAGTACCGGCACCAAGCACCCTGGCAAACACCCAAATTGACCAGTCTGAGTGTAGCGTGCTGGGCGTTTACTATCAGAATGCAAGCGCTGAAAGCGCGCGCATGCCTAGACCCTAAATATCCCTACCTGCGAGTACGTACCTACCCACATACGCACATACGCACATACGCACATACAGACGTACGTACATACATACATACATGCATACATGCATACATGCATACATGCATACATGCATACATGCATACATGCATACATGCATACATGCATACGTGCATACGTGCATACGTGCATACATGCATACATACATACATACATACATGCCAACATACATACATGCATACATGCATACATGCATACATACATACATGCATACATACATACATGCCCACATACATACATGCATACATGCA